GTGCAATGAGATTAATGTTCTTTTCATGCCTGCTAACAAAATATCCATTCTGCAGCCCATGGGTCAAGGAGCAATTTTAGCTTTCAAGTCCCATTATTTAAGAAATACATTTCATAGGCCATAGCTGCCATAGATAGTTAGTTCTCTGTTGGATCTGGGCAAAATAAATTGAAAACCTTCTGGAAAGGATTCACCATTTGAGAAGCCATTAGGGACATTCATGATTCATGGGAAGTGGTCAAAATGTCAACATTAACAGGAATTTGGAAGAAGTTGATTCCAACCCTCATGGATGACTCTGAGGGGTTCAAGACTTCAGTGGAGGAAGTAACTACAGATGTGGTAGAAATAGCAGGGGAACTAGAATTAGAAGTGGAGGCTGAAGATGAGATTGAACTGCAACAATTTCAGGATCAAACCTTCTCAGATGAGGAGTTACTTCTTATGGAAAAGCAAAGAAAGTGGTTTCTTGAGACGGAATCTAATTCTGGTGAATGCTGTGAAGATTGTTGAAATGACAGCAAAGGGTTTAGAACATTACATACATTTAGTTAAGAAAGCAGTGGCAGGGTTTGAGAGGATCGACTCCAATGTTGAAAGAAGTTCTGCTGTGGGTAAAATGCTATCAAACAGCACTGTATGCTACAGAGAAATCGTTCATGGAAGGAAGAGTCAATGATGTGGAAAACGTCATTGTTGTCTTATTTTAAGAAACTGCCACAGCCGCCCCAAACTTCAGCAACCACCACCCTGATCAGTCAGCAGGCATCAACATACAGGCAAGACCCTCCACCAGCAGAAAGATCACGACTCCCTGGAGACTCAGATGATAGTTAGCATTTTCTAGCAATAAGATCTTTTTAAAATTAAGGTATGTGTATTGTTTTTTTAGACATAATGCTATTGCACACTTAACAGACTACAGTATATTGTAAACATAACTTTTATACGCACTGGGAAACCAAAAAATTCATGTGACTTGCTTTATTGCAATATTTGCTTTATTTCAGTGGTCTGGAACAGAACCCACAATATCTCCAAGGTGTGCCTGTACAAACACCCTTGAAAAGATTGGCCAAAACAAATGCAGTAAGGGCCTCTGCTCATAAAACATGCAGGAACACAAGAGCTGCATGATTTGTCTTCCAATACTGCTTTTCATGCCCGGTAATTTTGTTGATTACTCTGTTGGATGTGAGGTATGTTTCTATTTCTATAAAAGTTCTTGAGTTTCATTTTAGGGTCAGTTAAGTTATTCAGAAACAGTTTGATCCTTTTGAGTCTTGTTTATAAGCTGGCTTGCGGAGGACAGGAGCAGCATTTAGTGAATTGCTAGTTTGCTCCAGGTATCATTCCCTCAAGTCCTTTAATGTTCTTTACCCAGCCTCTTACGCATGCACAGATCAATACTCAGCCAAAGACTTGAGGGATTCCCTCTGTAGGTCTCTAGAGCGTTCCCTGTATGGAGCTCTCTCCTCTCCAGGACTCTGCCCTGGAAACACTAGATGCTTGGCCTTCCAGGACACTCAGCTCTGTGTCCTCAACTCAGGGAGTCTGCTGGGCTGTGCACTGCGGCCTGGAAAGTCTCTCCAGACAGTCAGCAGGGACAACCACAGGCCTCACCTCACTTCCTGACTCTCAGGCATCACTGAGACTTACCAAATTTTAATATGAATCGGTGCTTTTATTCTCCATGACAATGGAAAAACATTAGCATACTTTAACTCATCCCAATAAACGGCATTATTATGGTATATTTTATTTTATTAATTTTTTTACAGAGATTTTATTTTTATTTATTTTTTAAACTTTTTAGTTTATATTGGAGTATAGTTGATTAACAATGTTGTGGTAGTTTCAGGTATACAGCAGAGTGATTCAGTTATACGTATACGTGTATCTAGTCTTTTTCAAATTCTTTTCCCATTTAGGTCGTTACATAATATTGAGCAGAGTTCCCTATTTTAATTCTAAGCATCTCTTAACTCTCATAGTACATTATTATTACAGTCATCATTATTAATTTGTACCATCAATACTCATTTACATTTATCCAACAATTACTATTTACCTTGCTTTTAATTCTTTCCTTCATCTTTGATCTTCTTTCTGGGATCAATGTCCCACCTGAAGAACACCAGAATCTTTTGGTGGTGAAGTTTGCTTTGTTTGGTCTGAAATGTTCTTAATTAACCTTTATTCTTGAAACACACATTTTCTCTGGGTTTAGAATCCTTGGTCGGCAGCTATTCTGTTGTACTGTCTTTTTATTTCCGTCCTATCTTTTGCAAAGTTAGATATCAGTCCAGTTGTTTGATAATTGCTTTTGGATGTTCTGTTTATCTTTGGCTTTCAGGAACTTTACTATATGGGCCTGGTTGTAGATTTATTTTGCTTGGCGTTCAAAGGACTTTTGGAACATGTGGCTTAATACCCCTTCTTACCAGAATTTCTTCAAGTATTGCCCAATTCCCTCTCCCCTTTCTGTCTGGGATTCCAATTGCACGTGTAATAGACTTTGTCATTTTATCCTCCATATCTTTTCCCTTTCTTTAGTTTGCCATTCTATGTTTCTCTCCTGTTTTTATTGTGGATATGTTCTTCTGACCTAACTTCTAGTTCACAAATTCTCTTTCATCTGTGTCTAATAAACCATAAACCCGCTCACTGAATTCTTCATTTCAGTGTGGCATTTTTACTTCTAGACTTTTTCTTTTTCACTTTTTTTCTGTTTTGAATTCTCAGTTCTCAGCTAAAATTTTCACTCGTCTTTATCCCCCTTAGAATCTTTGTGTTTTATACTTTGTAACACTACTATTTTCAGCCCAAGTGGGCTTGCCACCCTTAACTGTTTGTTTTTCATGTTACCTCCTTCCTTTATTTTTTTCTGGCTATTTTTTGTCTGTGTGAGCTGGACATTATATTTAACAAATTGTTTATGTAAATGGTTTGAAACTTAGAATAATTTTTTCCCCATCTAGTATGTAATTTACATTTGTTTTTCTCAGGTACCTAGAGGGACTGGTAATCTAGGTTGATCTTAATATAATTTGGGGATTGAGATGATTCGAAGCTGAGCAGCAGTCTCACAAGAGGCTGATCTACTGCTGTTTCATTCTTCCTGCTAAGGTATACATCTTTGGGGTTTCAACCCGAAACACAGGGGTTTACCAGGGCCCTTTGCCCCTTTGAGCAGTGGGACTTAAGATGCTTTCTACAGAATCAGCAAATGTGCTAAGGTAAAAACAGTTTCAAATTCTGTCTCTGTATGTCGGTTTTCATATATATTCATTATATATATATATATGTGTATATATATATATATATATATATGTGTGTGTGTGTGTGTGTGTGTGTGTGTATATATGTGTGTGTGTGTGTGTATATGTATATATATATATATATATAT